GCAACGAGCAACACAGGAGGTGGAAGCGCGTTCGCCAGCGATAGTTCTACGGACCTGGCGACCGTGATCAAAGGCCTCAAGAAATTCGACGGAAAGGACCCAGCTGAATTCAAGACATGGATGAAGAAATTCTGCGTGGTGTTAGGTGTGACCAGGAAGGACATCCTGCNAGCAATGGATACTGCAACGAGCAACACAGGAGGTGGAAGCGCGTTCGCCAGCGATAGTTCTACGAACCTGGCAACCGTGATCAAAGGCCTCAAGAAATTCGACGGAAAGGACCCAGCTGAGTTCAAGACATGGATGAAGAAATTCTGCGTGGTGTTAGGTGTGACCAGGAAGGACATCCTGCCACTGCTGAAGGAACAAAGAAAGCCAGATCCCGCAGACACAGCGGCCTTCGGCTCCTACGCAAGGGCAAACGAAGATCTCTACGCCATTCTTTTCCTTCAAGTGGAACTTCCAGCCGCCTTGTCGATACAGAAGCACGAAGACGACACTGGCATCAGCGGCGACGGACAAGCTGCCTTCGAGGAGCTCTGCAACAACTATGACAGGGTAACGGACGAGGTCATCAGGGCCAAGATGGAGGAGCTGGAGAACAACCCCATGAACCCTGGTGAAAATCCCGACGACTACTTCAACCAGAAGCACCTACTTCGCACCCAGCTGGATAAGATGGGAGAACCCATCTCCGACCGCCGCTTCAAGGACATCTGCGTACAGGGCTTCTCCGACGAATACAAGGACGTCAAACTGATGGTGTTCAGAGACCCAACCTTCAACGTCCTGGACATGCTATCGACCATGCGCAATATCTTCTTGGATGAACAATCGCGCAAGGGATGGAAGGGACGCATAGCTGGTCGAGGATTTGCCATGGCAACGACCGCGTCTGACATCATCTGCCACAGCTGCTACGAGCCGGGGCACATCAGGAGGAACTGCCCCAAGATCAAGAACAGGGCGAAGAAGAAAACGAAGCCCGCCGGAGCTACCAAGTGGTGCTCCAAGCACAACACCACGTCTCACTCGGACGAGGAATGCTACCAGCAAGGAGGAAAGCGCCCGGAAGACACCAAGGACTCAAATAAAGTATTCACCGCGTGCTCTAACTGCACTCACTGCTCGTCGGCGTCCAAGAAGGACGACTCAAACAATGAAGTGGCAGTTGTCGACTTCACCCGGGACGAGGACGCCTTTGACAGCGGCTTCATGTTCGCCACGTGTTCCCGCATCTCAGGACGCAACTTCGCCGCGAGCTCCACCGGCGTACGCCTGGTGGTAGACTCGGAAGCATCGGAGACCATGTTTGACAATCGCCTCATCCCCGACGGAAACCTCCACGATTACACCCAGCGAAACTCTCCAAAGATCGTGGACGTGGCCGGAGAAAGCCAACTCAAAGGCACGGCCACGGGCATCCTACACTGCATCGTCAAGGACAATCGAGGACAGCAATTGCGCGTGCGGATTCGGGGACTCATCGTTCCGGGGCTTGGTCGCAACATTTTTTCGCCCACCTCCCTCCTGAAAAAGGGATTGCGCTGCGTCGTCGAAGAGAGCACTCCGCACCTCACTATCCAAGGCAAGGTGATTCCACTCACACAAGATCCGCGAGACCAAGGCATGTGCACCCTCGACATCACGCTCGAGCAGAACGTCCAGCCATCTGGCACGAAATCCCTCGTGCCCCACCAGAAGCAGTCACAGACCCACAGCGGTCTTGCTCGCACTTCGGCACCAGTTGCGGAGGAACGCCGTGCTGCTCTGCGTGTCTTTTGGTCGGAAAACCTCGTGTCTCCATGCAACACGGGCCCGCTTGTGCTAGAACCTACTGCTGTTTGTGCGTGGCATGGTGTGCTTTTGGACTCATTTTCTGCTTGGTTGGATCCGCTTCAACCTCGTGTGCACCAAGCGTTTATCACTGGGCGTATGCTATCCTGTGGATATCTCCGCCTTTCGCTTGGACCTCGGCTTGCTCTTCCCGAAATTGCACCCGGCTTTACTGCTTCTGCTGCTCTTGATGCTGCTGCCTCAACTGCGGTTGGTTATCTTGCATCTACTGTTATTGGCCCTGCTGCCCTTCCCAAAATCGATCGTAGCTACCCTCGCTCTGGCCCTGTTCTTGTTAACAAAGAGGACACCATGTCCAGCGGCAAAGTGGAACTCCTGGGCGACAATGTGGAAATCTTCGACTACGAACCCGAGGGCGAGGCTCCCACCGCAGACCAGTTTCCAGCGGCGGGTGCAGAAGACGAGAGCCCCCCCATGTCCATGGTGTTGACCGTCGATGATTTGCTGGACAACATCGCCCCAGCAGATCCGGCGGAACTGGAGCGGGCCTACAACACCGGACGTGTCTCTCTGGAGGATATCGTAGAAACGGCCCATCTGTCGTCCGATTCCCCCCTTTTCGTTCCTCCTTTCTCGCTTCCACCGGAAGACAGATTAATCCTCTTGCCCCACGACGAGTTTATGGCGTACCAACGGTTGAACGAGATGTGGTGCGACGGTTTTGCCGGGAGGATAGCAGAGGCGGAGGCGCGAGAGCAGGCGAAGCGCGAGGACGCGGANGTTCCTCCTTTCTCGCTTCCACCGGAAGACAGATTAATCCTCTTGCCCCACGACGAGTTTATGGCGTACCAACGGTTGAACGAGATGTGGTGCGACGGTTTTGCCGGGAGGATAGCAGAGGCGGAGGCGCGAGAGCAGGCGAAGCGCGAGGACGCGGAGCGCTTGGCGGAACGGGAGGCTGCTCTGGCCGCTGCGGCGAGGAAGCAGGAGGAGGAGCGTGAGGCTGTTCGGGCTGCTGCGGCGAGGAAGCAGGAGGAGGAACGTGAGGCTGCTCTGGCGGCTGCGGCGAGAAAGCAGGAGGAGGAGCGTGCGGCTGTTCTGGAGGAGCGTGAGGCGTATCTCTAAGCGGCTAGGGCGAAGCAGGGGGCGCTCCGATCGCTGCTGAAGGAGCTGGAGCCCCGCCACCAGGACCCGCGAGCAGTCCCCCACCCCCGTCGCCGAGTTATCGTCCCCCCCCCACGCAATCCCAGGTGCACCTTTGTTCCCATCGTACCGCCTCGCCGCAAGAGAAGGAGCGCGAGGTGGCGGCGTCTCCGACGAACGAGCAGGAGCGGAAGAGGACAGCGACTCCGTAGTTTTCGGTGACTTTGGGACTTCCGGCTGGTGCTGAAGACGGAGCATCATTTGCGGCAGCAACCACAGTGTACGAGTTCCACGTTGGAGACACAACGTTCCTGTCCCGCCCGCTGGAGATGCCTGCAAGAGGTGTCACCTTCCACGACGAGGATAAATTGGCAGCTCTTTTTGCATGGGCTGGCATCACACAGCTTGTCCGTGCACAATTCCCCCCACCGCACACCGTTGCTTTCGGGCACATCTACCACACACCGTACCTCGCGAAATTTCCGCCTTCTTCGCGGCAGCCCGTGTTCCAGCTGTTGTTCGCTCTCCGTCGTGCCACCTTTCATGAAGGTCCTCAAGGAACGTCGCTGGTGACCCAGGAGGGAGGACTCCAGCTGCCCCTTGCTCGTGCGGCTTCGACCAACGACTTCAAGCACGATCTACAAGCCCCCCGGCAGGCCTCTTCACGCCCTGCACATGGTTCTGGGTAGGACAAGGACTCCAGTATGTCGGCGGCTCCGGTGTTCAAGAGCTGGAAAAACCGTTGGGGCGACCGGGATTCGACGGCCAAGAGCGGGACGGACGACCACCACCGCTTCACCCAGACTTTGCGAGGGCGCGGCGTCGGAGATAACAGGCGAGGGCCAACCGTCGGGAACCAGCCTACGAGGTCTTCGCCGGCGAGTCGCCATCGCCGGAGCAGGAGTCGGAGCGCAGAGCGGCAACAGCGCACCAATCCTTCGTCTAGGCGTGGGCGCAGCCGGAGCGGAGACCGTCGTGGGAGAAACACGCCTCCGTCTAGGCGTAGCCGCAGCCGGAGCCAGACCCAGAGCGGGGGCAATAGCAGGGCGACCAGCACTGACAGCAGTCGCGGTGGGAAAGGGCGACGGAGGTCAGGCCACGGTAACAGGCAAGTAAGTGATGTATGATCGAGGTGATTTTCGTAGCTCTGGGTTGTTGGGAGAAAGTAAGGATGCTTCAGAAGACGGTTCTCTCTGTTCTTCACTGCTTGCTCTACGCCCTCCCGCTGATGTAGGCCAACCGACCAGGTCTTCGTTGGCTTTCAAACTTGCCAATATGCAACTTCGTGAACGTTCAGCCGCTGTGAAAAGCTATGCCCCTGCCCATGCCGCTATGGATCATCCCATGTCTTCCTTGCCTTTGGACGAACCTGTTGAGTCACCACGCCATGCTGCATCACACGCCTCGACTTCGGCCTCCCGTACTGAAATGCTGTTGGAACAAGTACTCACTCTCCTGCGAGCAAATCAAGTAGTGGATGCTGCTGCCGACGCGAATGTACAACCTCCTGTGCCCCCCCACGCTCCTAGCGTGCCACCACCTGCCCCAACTTCTTCCCCACCAACGCGTCCGACACCGATGCAAGACCACGCTTCGAGCTTTTCGGGAGCTCCTGGGGGACGCGATGTTCGTGCCGAAACCGCTGCCAGGACCACGCCAACATCATCGTCATCAGCCACGAGGTCGGCGACAGTACCGGTCGAGGCTGCAGTTGCACCGTCAGCGTCGACAGCCCCAGCCCTGTTGCAACAGCCTTTGGTGGTATCGCCCCCCCGCCTCCAGCGTGCCCCCCGGTGTTTGCCATCGGGATTGGGTTTTCGTCGCTTGGCAACGACGTTGTACAACAAGCCAAGTCACTTCGTGAGCTCGGGAACCAGGTTACCGGTTTTTTTTACCGTTTTTCTTTTCGGCGGTAACCATAACGGTGGTCGAGTAGATCATGTTGTGCGGGGTGGAGAA